AATAGGGCTGCGAACTTTAAGGTCAGCAGTTTGAAACCACCAGCTGTTACGCGGGAGAAAGATGAGGCTTTCTGCTCCCGTAAAGATTTATAGCCTCGGAAACCCTATACAGGGTTGCTATGGGTCGGAACTGACTCGACGGCACATAACAACAACAACAACCAGTGGTTAGCAGTATCCTAGAGAACCAATGGTTTCTAAATACTAAAAATAAACCAATGTAAGCATACTTACCTTAAGAAAGGTGAAGAAACTACTATAAATTGCTATAAAATGTTCAGAATTTCCCAAATTATATTCTTTAGAATCATTAGCAGGTGTTTGACACACACAAACAATTGGGAAACATTACGTAGTATTCCATCTTCAAAATTCTTGGTGCACAGCCTCATATTGAACCACCTAAGAAGTCTTACACTAGAGATAATCTGTTCAAATTTAACTAATTTTTCAAGGTTAAATTTCCAAAATTAACCCTCAAGCTTTGCTATCCCTAAAGCAGGGGTAGGAAACCTCCGGCCCGCGGGCCATATTGTTGTTGTTGTTATGTGCCGTGGAGTTGGTTCCGACTCATAGCGACCTTGTGCAGGGTTTCCGAGGCTGTAAATCTTTACGGAAGCAGAAAGCCTCATCTTTCTCCTGCAGACCATATAAGGCCCATGAAATCATTTGGTCTGGCCCTGCCAAGGCAACTGCAGTTCCAGCCATCAGATTAAGGGTGAGTTAATTATTTGACTAAATATAGCAGGTTAATTTTTAAGCTGATAATTTTGTATGGACTGTGAATGATGTTACAAATTTTGACAGAAAAAAGTTCCGCACCATAAATCACGAATTAGAACACATTGTACAGCTAGTTCATAAAACAAAGTTGTGGAAGCATTGGTTTTGCCAGACTGCAAAGCCACTTGAAGAGCAAGATTGGTGATTCAAGCTCACCAGCTGCTCCTCGGAAATCCAATACAGGGTCGCTATGTATTGGAATAGACTCCATGGCACTTACCACCACCAACAATTTACAATTTGTTCTCTGAATAATACGTAAGGAATTCTGAGTGATAACTGAACCCATTAAAATGTAGCTTCAATCAACTCTACAATCAAATGTTTAAAACACTTTTTTCAGCAGTGAAATGCCTTTTACCATTTAGATAGTTGCAGAGAATTACTTGGAATTGTGTACCTAGCGTAGTGGTTACGAATCGGGCTGTGAACCACAAGGTCAGCAGTTCGAAACTACCAGCGGTTCCGCGGGAGAAAGATGAGGCGTTCTGCTCCCGTAAAGATTAACAGCCTCGGAAACCTTGTGCAGGGTTGCTGAGTCGGAACCAACTCCAGGGCACTTAACAACAACAACATAGTTGTCCTGGTGTGGCTCTGTGGGCTAATGCTTCAGACTGTAAAGCCCTTTGAACTGCAAGGTCAGCGGTTCATGCTTACCAGCTGCTCCTTAAAAACCCTATACAAGGTCGCTATGGGTCAGAATCGACTCAATGGTACTTAACAACAATTTAGTAATCTGGTATGGCTCAAAAGACATATAAATATAAACAAAAATAAGATTAACCGTGTCTACATTTTCTGTCTATACAGGGCTTAGACAATTTCAATACCTCAAATGTACAATGTACTTTTTTTTGGTGGGGCGTTATGCCTCTTGGGGAAACTGAGCTAACCGGAAGCTTCTTCATTTATACTCCCTCCGTACAAGATGCATATTATGAATCGATGTTAGCATGCTAAAGACACGAAACCATTGTTCTTGGACTTCAGATGGAGCTGTAAAGAATGAAGAGATCATCACCATCTCTCTGTAAATATCATGAAAACCTCACTGCAGCCTCATCTTCAAGTTTTCCTGATGCTACTTGGCAATGCATTAAATCATACACAGAAAAACACAAACAGGGCAGTGCTGAAGGTTCATTTATGTTGGCTGGATTATAAAGATTAATTTCTCGGACGGTACTCCACAGAAGTCACTAAATGTGAAGTAGTTGAAAGTAAAAAAAAAAACCTGAAAAATATTTAAATATGGATAGGAACGTGAACAGACGGGACACAGTCAAGACATCATTCTTTAGGTATCTAACATTAGTGTGTATCATAAAGGATTAAGACATTTAATTCTCTAGGGATTATAATAGAGATTTTAGCTTCCACAAAGAATATTTTCTAGAAATAATAGAACGATTCTATAATTATTTCATTGCAAAAGCACATGTTTGGTGACAAGGAATTTACTACAATTGGATTTTTCGGTCATTTATACTGAGGATATAAACACAATGTAGTCAATTGGGTTTAATTATTTAGTTTTCTGTAATATTCTGGTCCTGGTTTTCAGACATGAGACTCCCTTCTTCAAAAGAAACAGTGGATCCTGTTGCCCTACCTATTCACACAAATATTAAATCTGTGCTATGACAGTGTTTCTCAAAATGTGGTATTTATGGCACGTCTAAGGAGCTCTAGTATTTCCAGTGGCTAAGTGCTCGGCTGCGAACTAAACAGTCACTTAGGACCCGCTCATCACTCTGTGGGAGTACATGAGATAGTCTGTGTCCATACGGAGTACACTCTTAGAAACCCTATGGGGCAGTTCTACTCTGCCCCACAGATTTACAATGAGTCAAAATGAACTCCAGGCACACACCAACAATACAGTACTTCTAATAGATGTGCCTGACCCAAGCCAAGGTATTTTCAATAACCTCATATGCATGTGAAAGCTCAACAGTGAATAAGGAACACCGTAGAA